ACCCATACCCAAAACTTGAAGAACTGCTTAAACTAATGGTTGAACCCATGTCTAGATCAAAACTCACACAGAGACTTTACAGAAGTAAAACCAAGCTCCTCTGAATTAGAGACAGAAAATTCCCACCTTGTATCCTGAAATCATAATGCCTTTACAGTGACCAATGCACAGAAGGGTCCTTTGGGCTGGTCAACAATAGGTGTTATGGCCCCATGTTGGGTGCCGAGCTGTTATAGGTAACCCCAGGGGAAACTTCGGGGTGATCTGAGTTGTGAGTCCTCTCTTGCTAGCTTCAGAACTCGGGTCGAGACCCAAAAGCAGACACTCAGAGGGAGATAAATAAAAAGGCACATGTAACAAGGGATTGAGGAGAGCCAATTAGATTAATTGGCTACCGGCAATACCTCTTAGTAGCTCCCTGTTGCAGAAGTCAGGTTCATGGCATGCTGGGAGTTGTAATCCATGGCACTTGACATCTTTGTGGGGAGATGGGGTGGGGTCCATTCAGAATATCATTCACTGGCTCACATTTTGCTCCTCATTGTTCCTCTGACAATATTAGGCACATATTACCAGGATTACATCTACCTGGTGAATGGATTTTTAGTGTAATGAAGCCTTGCTTGCTAATGATTTCCTTTCAAGACTGTTTTCTTGGATATTAGTAGAGCTTTAACTAGTTTCCTTTTTAATTTAACCTTTCTGTAAGTAACTTATAAACAAGATGTTTTTAATGCTTGTGTTTTTAATTGGATCATTAAAATTATATACATGTAATTTATTAGTATACATAGTTTAAATATATCTTTTTATGTGCTATTACAATTATATCTTTTTGTCTTTTTTTGGATTTAGTCATTTTTTTAGTATTTTGTGTTCATTTGTTAGTTTGAAAACTACATTTACTATTCCACTATAGGTTGCAACATAAGAGATTGTTGTGGTCTGTAGTTTTTGTTTTATTCTTCTAACTTGATCTTTAGGGGGGTGGTGGAATATACTACACCAAAATGTGCCACTTTGGCATGTGAATTGTTTTGAGCTGAAGGTAAGTAAGACCCTGAAGACAGGAAATCCAGTTTTACCTCTGTCATAACTGCCTAAAAGACTATGGATAGGGAGCCTTTATCAGAAAGAGTACTATTACCAAAGATAACTTTTTACATCAAAGATAAATCTGCATGGCATGGCAAACATTTCTTTACCAAATGTTTGTTCTCATCTTCCTTTAAGTTGTCTTTCTCCTCTTTGAATCTCCAAGCTCCTGCCCATTATTTCAGGATGGCTGATGCCTGACTTATGTCCTTGTGGAGCTGTCATATGTAAATATTATTTTTTTGTTCCTATTACCCTGTGTTATGTCAATTTAATATTAGGCCAGCCAAATAACCCAGGAAGGAAGAAGGAAAAACTTTCCTTCCTTTTTAATTTTTTTGGAAGAGACTGTGGAGACCTTGCACTACTTATTTAAATATTTTATAGAATTTTCCAGTGAAATCATCTAGGCTGGGTTTTTTTTTTTAAATGTTTTTTTTAGCTATGAATTCGTTTTTCTAAACAGGGAAGGCTATTCTGGTTATGTATTATTCTTTATCTTATATTTTCTAATGGTATTTACTTGAGCAAAGAAACCATATTTATTTTTAATACAGATTGTGCACTTTCTAAATAATTTTTGTGTGTGTTTCTAGCCATTTTGTTCATTCTCTTAAACTGTAATCACAGTAAGATTCTTAATAGAGAAACATTAGCAACATTCCCATTAAAGCGAAGAACAAAAGAGAATATAAATATAATCTTTATAGTACTTTTTAGCACTGTTTTGGACTTCATACCAAATAGTTATTAGGCCAAAATACAAAACCGTGGTATGAAGTTTAAAAAGATGTGAAAATGTTAAATGCATCTAAAAAGTCTACCAAGAACTTTGCCCAAGAAGATTACGGCTATTACAATGAAAATGACAAATCAACAAGGTGACTTTTCATGTCTAAATATTTTTTAGTTTCTTTTTAAAATGTTAATGTATTTTAAAACTTTCTCACAGTTATCTTTTGCCATTGGTTTTAAATATTATTGATGGCATCTAGGACAATATTATTTACATGTGAATTTGCCTAGTTTTCTTGTGCCCTAGAACAAGTTTAATTTTTATAAATATGTTGTGTATTTGAGTGGGGGAAATGGTAATCTTAATTTGCTCAGCTCAAAAATCTATATATATTTATTAGGAAAAAAACTGGTTATCATCAATAATCATTTAATTATAACTTGCTTGATCTGTTAGTTTCTGGGAAAGATATGTTAATTCCTCTAATGTGTTTTGGGTATTTATTTCTTATATTTTTATTCATCTTGCATAAATTTCAAAGCAGTGTAGCCACATATTTAAAAATTATAAAATCTTGAAATGTGCCTTTTCGATGCATTTGCTTGGAATTCTGTTTCTCTTTCCTTTAAAAATAACTGCTATGTTTTGACCCTCCTACGCCCACTAGTTTGGGGGAGGGGGCGCGGCTGTGGTGGTGGTAACAGAGACAGAGACAGACAGAGATAGAAACAGGGCTATCGGGGGCTTGTAGTCATCCAAGGACAGTGTCCAGTAGAGGACAGGACAGGTCACGGCCAGTTTCCACCCGTGCTCACAATTGCAAGACTACTCAGGCTCAGGGGACCATAATAATGGGGTTTATTTAACAAACGGGAAACAAAGACTTAGTAAAGCCACAAGTGGCCAACTATCTTACCCTACATAGTGTCCGCAGCGTTCAGGAGTCCCAAACAAAAGGATGCCCATGCTGTTTTGCCAACGAGGGCCTGGAACGTGTGGCAGCTGGCAAACAGCTGGCTGAGATTCAACTCATGGTAGTAGCTCACAGGCAGACTGCTGAGACGCCACCACAGCCTGCAGCTACAGCCTGAAGGTCAGGATAAACAGCATTGGATGCTGAACCAAGCAACAACAGAGGCAACAGCACTGAGAAGTGATGCTAGGTGATCTGATAAACAGCTGTTTGAAACACCAGGCAGAGGCCAGCAGCAGGACCTGAAGGCAGGTGCAGTTACCTGGTCCCTGGAAAACTCTGGTTTCTCTCTTCGGAGGTCAGGTGTGGGATGCTGCTGCTGCTTTGGAGGCCAGAAACAGAGTGCAAGGAGTTTTGGCGTCTGCAGGATCCCAAAAATGTCAAGAGCCGCAATCTGGCTTCTGCACTCCAATATATTCTCTTTCAGAGTCCCCCACCCTAATTAATACATCCTGATTGGGCTGGTTAACTGGCAGGTGCTGGAGGGAGGGGTTGCCCACAGTCAGCAACTTTTGGCATGGGCGGGTAAAATGCCACACATTTTTTTATGGCTCCCATTGCTTAGGCAAAAGCCCCTACTGCTTAGGTGGCAGTGACTGGAAAAACCCCCAGTCTTGCCTGTAGTCCACATTGGGACCCCGGCTAGGTGTGTATACAGTGTATTTCTGTAACTCTGCCTTTAACCTTGTACTTTCATTTTGTAAGTGCATTTTTTTAAAGTAGTATATAGTTGAATTTCTAAAAATTTCTAAAAATTTCAGTCAGAAATATTAGTAGTTGAGTTCATCACGCAAAACAGTGATTGAGGAAAAATGCAAATAGAAGTCAAAAGGGAAAAGGGCAAATAGTAAAAACTGAGGTTAAAAGTTATCCTCTCTTGATAACAGTATTGAAGATAAAAGTTCATCTTATTTTAGCATTTGGGGTTGCTGATAAGCTGTCTTTTCTGTATTTTTGCTCTTGAGATTTTCTTTCATCCTTAATATTCTAAAGGTTTACTATCACTTGGTCAGGAATGGGCTGTTTTTGTTTTGTTACGGTTATTGTTAATGTGTTCTTTTAGTCTGAGTGCTACCAACCCAGTGTTAGGGTCCCTTGCCTGCTGATTATAGACTGACCATAAAGCAGAGCAGAACTTTATTGCTTGGCAAGGTAAGGGAGAACTGGGTTCCCAAGCACCCCTTACCTGGGGTCATTTTTACTCTCAAAATGAGGACACTCTCCTTGTCGGTCATATGAAATGTGACTTCTGTGTCCTGCTGATGCCTCAGGTTCCAAAATGCAGGATGAATATTCCTGGTGCACTTCAGTAATCTTTACAATTTATACCATGTAAATTCTCCATATGCATGTATTTAAATCGATTGCTTTTCCTTTGCTAACCATCTGATGCTATTTTGATTACTCACTCGACCCAAGAAGAATCCAGAAGACTGCTCTGGAATGACTCCCTTTGCGCCTGACACTTTCTTAATATACTTTTTATTATTCATGCCATCCCATTGTGCATTTTTCCAGTGGGATCCTCAGGTTATATTTCTGTTGTACTAATTTGGTCTTAAATGTGTTCAGTCACTATTCAGGTATTCCATTTAATTTAGGTGTGTGTGTTTGTTTAGTAATTTCAGTAATTATATTCTTTCCTGAAGACTTTGTCTTCAGGCAACAGGTAACACAGCATCAGCTCCTGTTGACCACTGTGGAATCCTGTCTAATTTTTCATGGGTACTTATTTTTTTTCTCACTTGTGGAAGGTGTACCTTTTTGTTTTCAGGAGCAACATTAAGTTTATTAGCATTTTAATATCATGTCTTTGTAATGTAATTTAGGATGGTGCTTAACAGCATGGACTCTGAAAGTAGAGTAGGAAGGTTCATAGCCAATTTCTGGCTCTTTGACAAGTTATTTAAGCTCCCTGTGTCCCATTCTTATTAGTGTTAATAATGATAATAATTCAAGGTTTTTTGTGAGTATTAAGGGAATATACATCAGAATGCCTGGTGAGTGCTTGGTGTCACTTGCCACTTTGGTAGTGGTGGTAGCGCTTCAGTTACCATTTTGTGATTGGATGAATGGTGGAGATTTTTTCAAGTGTCTGTAATTCTCTAGACTGTCCCAGTCACCCCTTATGTAACTCTTTGAATTGAGAATTGAATCTAACATATATAATGTATGGTTCCTCTTTTTTTTCTACAGATTGATCCTGAATTAGAAAAAAAACTGAAAATGAATAAAGTATCATTGGAAACAGAGTATGAGGTATAGTCTGGTAATACAGTCTTCTTTTACTATTTTCTTAGTAACTGGTTCTGTCCTCTTTAAGGTAAACAAATTATTTGCAGTACAGAAAAAGGTTGTTTACCTTAAATTATTTATCTAGTTAAAAAAATTATCTATTATTGGGACAACTACGTAATCATTTGAAAAGAAAATGGAAAGTGGATCTTTATTTTTATATACTATCAATAAATAAATTCCAGGTGAATGAAGAATTTAAAAATAGATAGCAAAATGCTGAAAGTACTAGGAGATAAAAAATGAAGATTCTTTTTTGTGATCTTGAGTCAGAAAAATTCATTTAAATTTGATACAAATGCCCAGAAGCCTTAAAAGTAAAAAGTAATGAGCTTAAACATAAAGTTCAAAAGTTGAACATAAAAAAAGTGTATATGAAGTCACTAGTTAAATGAGAAATCCTAAAAATACTGCTTATCTTTTGATGAATTATCTGTTAAATATGAAGAGCATTTACAAATCAATATGGAAAAGTTCAAAACCTCAGTTGGTCAGCAGGAACACAAGCAAAGTATGTAAAGAGTTCAGAGAAAAGAAATAAGTAATCTTAAACATGTGAAGAGACACTCAACTGATAAGGATAATGTTAATTAAAATTATAAAGAGATGCCATTTTCTACCCATCTGATTAGCAAAAAAAAAAAAAGGTTTTTATTTTGTATGCTAAAGAGGTATATTATATATCTCACATTCTGCTATAGAACCACATATATGCAACACACCCTTCATATATGGTGTATTATAGGAGGTGGTGAGGAAGGTTTTGTTCATTTTGGGCCATGGATCAATTTTTTTATTGAATGGTAGACATTGTGAATAATACATTGAAGAAACTTATGAAGAGTGTCAGTTCTCATTTTAGCAGCAGTTCAATTATTGAGTGATCATTGTGAGCTTGGTTTTGTGCTTCGTAAGGGAGGATGTGTGAGAAGACTTTGAGATTTCCTAAACTCTCTTAACTTGGCAGAACTCATTTCCAGACTGTATTCCCAGAGGCAGAGCTTGGCTTTAAATTTTGTTAGAGTGAATCTAAAATAGTAGGTCTTACTCTTGACATATTCCTACTCCCAAAGAACAGCCTTTTCGGGGTCTCAGCTGGATGTCAAGGTAATAAATAGGTATTAAAAAGTATCCATTCTTGCAGTGCTGAAAATTCAATTATGACACTGTTTTTCCTCAGCACTTTTTTTTCCCCAGGGAAAAATTTTACTTGGTATTTAGGCCAGTGAACAGGCTAGAAATACTAATGCTGAAAATGTAACAACATTCATGTTCTAAATTCAAATTCCATTGTTTATAATAAAAGAATCTCCATGTTGGGTTTCACGATTTCAGAACAGGCTTCACAAATTCAGGGCATTGAATCAGAATCATATAACTTACCTCCTAGCTTCTCTACTCCTGGTAGGCTGCTTGCCTCATGATCGTGTGATATTTAATTTTTATCTTTAATTTAACAGACACTTCCTAGCAGACTGTAGGCTCCACCTTTGTTTTTTTTCTCTTGTTTACCACAGTCACCCAGGCCAACCTGTGCTATCATTACTATGCTGGATCAGTTTTTAGAGTTAGACTTTCATTTTCCCACCTTCTTCCTTTTCTTTGTGCTCTTAAAATTAAAGTATGTAGACTATTTCAGTAGTTTTATTCTTATGGGAGAAAAGGTAGACATTAACATCAATATCAAGCAAGAAAAATTCCAAATCCTAAGAAATAGGCTATTTCTTCAGTTACTATGCTTGATACATAGTTGATGTGTTTGTGAAAATTAAAATTGAGGGCCTATTGGATTCTTTCCACTCCCTTACTGATTCATGCATTCAGTGATGTCCTACTCAAAGCCACAGGGCTCTTACACTAATAAATACACACACACACACACACATATATATATGCACATTATATATATATGCTTTAATTTTGTGGCTCTATAGAAAATAAAGGACTCCGCTTTTGATGACTGGAAGAATATTCGGGGACCTAGGCCCTGGGAAGACCCTGACCTCCTCCAAGGACGAAATCCAGACATCCTTAAGACAAAGACAACTTGACTTTGCTGATTCTTTGTGTCTCTTTGAACTTTAAATAAAAATGTTAACTGGAATTTCCACTACATATTCCTATGGACAAAAATTTCCAGACCTGTAGAAGCCTGAATGTGAGAGTTGATGACATCTTCATGAAAAGTTAAGTCCAGCCTTTATACTGTCCAACTCTTTCATTTGCAGATAAAAGTAACAATGTTGACTACATGTATTTTATACCACTCAATAAAAATTTGACTACTACTTAAAGAGTGTCATTTCTTCCATTCCCAATTACTCTGTTCCTTTTCCACCAGCTACGTAGGCATTGTTTTGATACTTCAGTCCGATTCCTAATGAGAAATAGTAGGTCTAGATTCAAACCCTCACAAATATCATCAAGCAGTGATTTTATGTCATATATATAGAGGAAAAATAATGTTGCTCACAATTTGATAAGAGTCTTGGTTTTATTTATAACCTTCATAGTATATTAATCTCCAAAGCGTCTCCTGACAATTGTATAAATACCATTAAAATGTGTTAAAAATTATTGTTCTTTAAAGTAAAAATCATGAATAGTGTATATCATATGCAGCTATGGCAAATCTCTTCAGGTGGTCCACAGATGACTGCAGTTTAGAAAACAGATTTAAGATATACTTTATGCCTTAGCATAATTTGTAAGCAAATTGTGCCCCAGGGCTTTTGTTGGTTGGTTTTTAATTTGGCATTTGTGATGATCTAAATGCTTGGCAGAAGGATAAAACTGATGGGAGTTAGTTTTGTTTTGAAAACTCATTTTCTTTTCACACCTGTCTCGGTCAGCCTTGTTTCTCCCACCTTCTGTTATTTTCCTGAGTTCCATACACCCAAAATCTTAATCGAAACACTCCCCTCATATCTGCCAAAATACGGAAATCTACCCCCACCACTTCCCTAGTCAAAATCTCTCTTTTCAGTGGGTAAGTTGTGATAGAAATGGCTTATAAGATTCAGTTATTGGAAAGAATGTTGTTATTTTAAAGAAGGGGGAAAAAAAGGAAAAACCTCTACCTAATCCTCACTCCCTATACAGAAAAATTCAAAATGGACCAAATTTAAATGGCAGACATAATAACACTATAAAACTTAGGTAAAAACAGCAGAAAAATCTTTAATGATCTAGTGCATAGTTCTTGATGACAAGTCCTTACTCAAAAAAAAACCATGAAGGAACTTGACTCATTGAAAATTTTGGAAGTTTCACTTCTTGCAGCCCCAATAGGTTTTCACAATGAATGCTGGAGAAAAATCTTGTGTTTCCAGTAGAGGGAGGGGAAAGTAATCATTTTTGAAATATGCCTCCAAAATTCTGCCCTCAGGAAACTTCTTGCCAAAGTCTAATCACACCAGGTTTTACCAGAGCCTGGCATAAGGGAAATATCTAACTTCAACCCCCTCTAGCCTTTCTGTCTCACCTAAATGAGAGTGGGGTGTGAGTGGGAGGAAGGCTGAGTAGCAAATGTGTAGGTAACATCCCAGTGACCTACAGTCACAAAAAGACTGAGCTGAGACCAAATCTTTTAATTTTTTTAAGCTTTATTTCTGCATAGAAGAACTGGGGTATAGGCCAGAGTTGCGGGGTAAGGGGGTGGTGAGAAGATTCACCAGAGACAGAGTGGGGAGCAGAACAGGTAGATCTACTGAAATACACTGCTGAGGGGAGCAACAGGCAAGACAGGAGAGGTCTGTTGCACCATATGTGGCTCAGCTACCTGGCTGGGGATCAAACTCAGGTAATGGCAGTGATAGCACTGAGACTTAACTTCCTACACCTTATCTTAATACTATAGAATGTTCCCCTTTGTGGTCCCCCTATTCGGCCACCCATTTTGTTACCTACAATTCTAAATCCTAAGCAAGGTCAGAACGGCCTGGTCAGTTAGATACAGGAGCCCAACCCTGTAAGGTGTCCGTCAAATCAATCAAGAGCACAAAGCTGGATCACGCTAGGAAGGCTATGCATCATGAGGTATGACCGGGAACGCCTGGGGGGCTGAGGACCGATGTATAACAAGGGACCCCAGAAGCTGATCAGTGGGAAGCCTTGTTGATAAGGTTGAAACCAAGGCTGGGGAACTAGAGCTTGATCTCAATCACAATATCAAGTCATCAAGCAGATGAGAAGTGTCGGGAGGGCAGACTCACAACCCCTGATATTATAGATGACAGAGCACCTTTTCTAGTTTCACCCCTCCCTTTTCTCTTTGTCCTCCTTCCTCTCAACTGATGCTGTATTAAAAGGTCAGGATCTTGCTCTTCAGCAGCATCCTGCATTATGTAGCCTGCTCCATGACTCCCATTTATCTGTGGTGGTGTCCGATGCAACACCCTTCTCCCCTCACATTACCACCCCGTCACTGAGAACTTAATTACTGGAATGTCTTTTACCCAGTCCAGTTTAGTATCCCACTTTTATTAATTGTTATTAATTAACAACAAAAACTATAAGCTATACTAAAAGACAAAGCAAGCATCAGAATCAGATTAATCATGACTGGGATGGTGGAATTATCAAATTGAGAATTTAAAATAATATACTAAGAGCTCTAATGGGAAAAATATACAACATGCAAGAATAGACAGGTTATGTGAGCAGAGATGGAAGTTCTGAGTCAAAAGAAAATTCTAGAAATTAAAAACACGAAGAATGCCTTTGATGAGGTATGCAATAGAGTGGAGGTGACAAAGAGAATGAAGGAGAAAGAAAGGAAGAAACATACCATGTTTTGGTGCTAACACCAATCAAACCTGGAGGAGCGATTTAATTTCAGGCAAAGCAGACTTTAGAGCAAGGAAAGTTATCATGGATAAAAGAAGCATTATACAATGATGGCTCAATTATTTAAGACAATAATCTTTAATGCATTTGAACTTAATAACTGCAGTAAAATAACTGAAGCAAAAACTGACAATTGCGGAGAGAAAAAAATCAATCCACTATCAAAGTTGGAGACTTCAATAGCTTGCTATCAGAAATGGACAGATACAAGAAGGGAGAAAAGGACAAAGTTGAAATTAGCAGTGCCATCAACCTATTGGTCTAACTGACATCTGTAGAACACTTCAGAAAAGACAACAGAATAATACATTCTTCTTACAGAACAGTTATTAAGACAGGACTCTTGTTAGGGGGAAATGATGTCCTGAGTTAATCCCATTCAGGCTTTGTGGACCCCACCCCCACTCCAGACTAAAGCCATCAGGACATTGGGAAAGACAAATCCCATCACCACCAAGGGAGGGTGGCTGGGACCTGAGGGTGGAGTTGGGCAGCCAGGTTGGATATAAAAACCAAACACGTGGGCCTTGGTCTCTCTCGCTGGCTCGGGATCGCTCGCCTTCTGGCTTCACGGCTCCTGGCTGGCGGCCAGCTCTCAGAGCGCCATTTTGGGATTCCTGATCGGCGGATCGGGTAGGACGCATTTAAAACTTTGTCTCCCACTTTTCTCCCAGAGCTGTACATTTCCTCATTTCCCCTTCCCTTGTAAATAAACCTTTTATTAACCTTTTGCGTGTGCCTGCAGTAGAGCATTGATAAGTCCTTTTAAGCAGCGCGGGTGAGGACCCACAGTCAGGCACCCCGTTTTGTATCGGGGTTGCTCTACAACACTCTGGGTGATGAAACAAACCTTAAACTTAAGAGAATAGAAGTCATACAAAGTATGTCTTTTTGTGTATCTGTACAGTTTATCAAAATGTGTTGGATACAGTGAAAATGCTTCAAGGGAAATTTATAGTATTGAATATATATCAGAAAAAATGAAAATTGACTTTTGGAAACTAGTGTTGTAGGGCAGCCCCAATATTGAACGGGTTGCCTGGCTGTGGGTCCTCACCCACGCGCTTAAAAGGGACTTACTAATACTCCACTACAGACACACACAAAAGGTTAATAAAAGGTTTATTTACAAGGGAAAAGGAAATAAGGAAAATGTACAACTCAGGGAGAAAATAGGGAAATAAAGTCTTTAATGCGTCCTACCCAATCCGCCGACCTGGAAACCCAAAGGCACTCTCAGAGCTGGCCCAGCACTGCGAGCTGGCGGAGAGTCAAAATGGGGGAACCCTGCCCCCCCCCAAAGCCCACATGTCTGGCTTTATACCAGCCTGGCTGCTTAACCCCACCCTCAGGTCCCAGCCACCTTCCCTTTGGTGGTGATGGGATTTGGAGTTCCCAGTGTCTTTGGCTTTGGCCTGGGGTGGGGGTGGAGTCCACAAAGCCTGTATGGAATTAGCTTTAGGACATCCTTTCCCCCTAACACTAGGAAAAGAAGTACAAATTAAATGCAAAATAAGATCATAAAAATTAGAGGAAAAATCTATAGAAAAAATCAAAACCAAAACTGTTACCTAAAGCAGTTTAATAAAATTAGTACACCTAGTCAGACTGAGAAAAAGATACACATTATTAATACCAGGAATAGAAAGGGGTCTATCACTAAGACCTCACAGACATTAGGAGGATAGTGAACCAATATTATAACAACTCTCTGCCCACAAATTTGATAATCTAGATGAATCAGTTCCTTGAAAGACGTACTCTGCTAAACTCACACAACAGATAATGATATATAACCTGTAAACTTCCAAAACAAAGCAACAAGCACAAAAGGGTTTGTTGTAGAGCAACCCCGATACAAAACGGGGTGCCTGACTGTGGGTCCTCACCCGCGCGCTTAAAAGGACTTATCAATGCTCTACTGCAGGCACACGCAAAAGGTTAATAAAAGGTTTATTTACAAGGGAAGGGGAAATGAGGAAATGTACAGCTCTGGGAGAAAAGTGGGAGACAGTTTTAAATGAGTCCTACCCGATCCGCCGATCAGGAATCCCAAAATGGCGCTCTGAGAGCTGGCCGCCAGCCAGGAGCCGTGAAGCCAGGAGGCGAGCAATCTCAAGCCAGCGAGCCCAAGGCCCACGTGTTTGGTTTTTATATCCAACCTGGCTGCCCAACTCCACCCTCAGGTCCCAGCCACCCTCCCTTTGGTGGTGATGGGATTTGTCTTTCCCAATGTCCTGATGGCTTTAGTCTGGAGTGGGGGTGGAGTCCACAAAGCCTGCATGGGATTAGCTCAGGACATCATTTCCCCCTAACAGGTTCACTAGTAAGTTTTACCAAACATTTAAGGAAGAACTTGTAACAATTCTCTACAAACTCTTCCAGAAAACAGGAGTGTAGGAAATACTTCTTGACTCATTTTAGGAGCCAGCAAGTAGCAAAAATAGACACCGTATCACAAGAAAGGAAAACGATAGACCAATATCTCATGAAGATAGTTAAAATCCTTGACAAAATAGCAACAAATCAAAACATCCTGAGGGCTCTAAGGTTAAGAGGGAGGGAGGCAGGAGAGGAACAAGGAACAAGATAATTTCATAATGGGGAAAAAATAATAAATCCTATCCTCAAAACACACGCACACACACACGCAGAAGGGAGGTGGCCATGTGAAGATGAAAGCAGAGATTAACTATGATGCTACAAGCCACGCAACTCCTGTGTGTTAGGAACTACCAGAAGTTTGGAAAAGACACGTGTGTGTCCTTGCAGACACCCTTTCTGACAGGAGTGTCAATCGGCTAATTTCAGCCTAATAGCGTCCAGAACTAGAACTGTTTGTGTCAATTAATCAAGAAAGTATTGATGATAGGGAAGTGGCTACTATTACTGTTTACTAGTAAATGAAAATCTGTTGGCAGATGATAGATTTTCTGTCCTGTCATTGTTTCAAACCAATTTTTAAAAATTCTCTTCTTTTTCCTTTTGACCCTTAAACAAGTTTTAAACATCATTTAATTTACTGGAAGTGTCACCAAATGATAGAAGAAAATGGGAAATTTTTTTGAAATGGGATTTTTAAAAAAGATTTATTCATTTACACTAGAACCAGGGTACAGGCCAGATGCGGGGGAGGGTGAGAGTGTTGGGGGAAAGGATGTCCTGAGTTAATCCCATGCAGGCTTTGTGGACTTCACCCCCACTCCAGACCAAAGCCATCAGGACACTGGGAAAGACAAATCCCGTCACCACCAAAGGGAAGGTGGCTGGGACCTGAGGGTGGAGTTAAGCAGCCAGGGTTGGTATAAAAACCAAACACGTGGGCCTTGGGGGTCTCTTGCTCTCTCGCTCGCTCGCTCGCCTCCTGGCTTCACGGCTCCTGGCTTGCGGCCAGCTCTCAGCGGTCATTTGGGATTCCTGATCGGCGGATCGGGTAGGTCGCATTTAAAACTTTGTCTCCCACTTTTCTCCCTGAGCTCTACATTTCCTCATTTCCCCTTCCCTTTATTAACCTTTCACGTGTGCCTGCAGTAGAGCATTGGTAAGTCCTTTTAAGCGCATGGATGAGGACCCACAATCAGGCACCCCGTTTTGTATGGTGGCTGCCCTATAACAAGAGGCCTCACCTGAGACAGAGCAGGGAACAGAACAGGCAGACTGACTGAAATACACTGCTGAGGGGAGCAGCAGGAGCGACCAGAGAGGTCTGCTACCCCAGGTGGGACCCTCGCGGCTGGCCGAATGGAACCAGCTCTGCAGAGGCTGCGGACAGCCCCACAACGCGGCGCTCAACCACCTGCGCCACCAAAGGTGGCCCTGAAATGGCATTTTTACTTTCTTTCAGATAGAGTAAGAGTGGAGACTAAACTTCGGAAGTAAACTGACACCCCTAGCAGAAATCATCCTGATGTGGGCAAGCCTTGTAGTCACTGCTTACCACCACCAGAGGGCACTCTAAAGCCACACAACACAGAATTTTGCGCCTCTGGGTGAAATCCATGTCTAATATAGGAGTCAGTTTCCAGAATTATGGATCCTGCCTTGCTCTGTCTACAGTCTCCCTTTAGATACTGTGTATCTAAGTGAACCCAGGACATTCCAGGCTGGGTGGATCGTCTGGGCTATTTCAGCTACTACCCTCACCTCTGCAAAGCTGCCACTTTGAGGAGTGGCTGATGCCTACAGACCCACAGAGTCACATAAACCCTTAACCCACCAAGTGAGATACAAAAAACCACAGATGATGATATGTAAGAAATCCACATCTGGTGCTTTGAGGACTGCCAGCCAGCAGCTGACCTGAGCTCTACTCTCTCTCTCTCTCTCTCCAGCTGTTTCCTTCTGCCTTAGTGCTTTGAGTTCAGGTCTCATTACTTCTCAGCTGCTTTTTCCTTGTGTAGGTATAATGACCACAAGAATCTGGCCTCCTTTGCATCAGGAGTAATTATCAAATCTTCCTACTGACAGATACAGATACACATGCACACGGAAGGCCTGAAATTCCTTGCTAAGAAAATCTGAATGAACACTATAGGCAAAAGCAGGAGAATCCCATCAAGTATCCCTTAGGTAACTTTCAACCGTGTCAAAGACAGACTTGAAAATCACAACGAGGTTTCTTCATTCTCTACAGCTCTCCTCACCCCGTCTACCATATTATTGGAACACAGGCAGGAGATCAGCAATTTCTTCTCTGGAGACCACTGAAGGATCATTTCAATAGGCACAAAGATAAGGATTAAACCAGGAATGTTTTGGTAGCTATAGAGATTCAGGGGCAGATGGAAAGATTTCAGGGATAGTATGGGAAATACTTCTCTGGGTCACCTGTTCTCTATACTATTTGATCATCTCAAACAGTTCACAGGTGAGGCTTTCTCCACTCAACCTGGCAAATGGCGCATGTCCCCACGTGTGTGGGAACCAAGTTTATGGTGTCCATTGGATTGCTATTCTCTTTTCATCTCTGTTCACTTCCATCCTTCTAATGACCCACAAGAGGAGGTGCTGGATGGTTGCTGAATGAGTGGAAAATGAGCACTCATGAATAACTGAAGATAAATTTTTCTCGTGGCAAAAGCACAATTATTAACGATTCAATGATGGCAAGACAACAAGGTGCTCACCATTCACCCTAACATTTCGGAGTACGGTTTGCTTTTTGGGGTTTTTTGTTTGTTTTTAAGGTGGTAACCTTCCCATTTCACAAATACCCATAGAGGCTACAGCACTAACTCCAAGGTAACTTTTTTTTCTCTCTCTCTTAGCTGACTTCTTTGTGACTGGGGATGTTGTAAGAAGACATCAGTCAAAACCTGGAACATGCGTGTTCCGGGTTTCCCTGAGCCTGACCGAGCTTGGAGTCCAATTCAAGTCTCTCAATCCCAATTGCCCACTGGCCGGTCGGAACCAAATAATTGGGGTTGCGCTTTCCGGGCGGACGCCTGAGTACGTCGCACTAGATCGATTGCTTTTGCCTGGAGGGGGCGAATCCAGGGAGGACCGCGAACTCGGAGGCTGTGGGGGCGCGAGGAAGGGGGCTTGACTGCTTGTTAGGGAGGGAGCTGGCGCTGCTGAGATGTGGGAGGTCACGGGGGGCTGCTTGGCGTGGCGTCCAAGTGGGTCATGGACCGCAGTCACGTTTGACACGCGGCGAGGCGCGCCTCGTGCAAGAACGAGACCCTTCGCTCCGGAGTCCCCCACGCAGGTGCGGCGGGACTGGTGAGGGCTTCCAGGGGGGCTCGAGGAGGGTGAATCGGGGCGGGATTCCGGAAGGGGTGGGGCCCTCTGCTCGGCTGCGTCTACACTGCGGTGATCTCTGAGAGTTGAAGACAAAGAGCCAGACCCGTGTCACCGAGGGGTGGTCGATGGATTAGGAGCTTTAAGACTGGCTTGCTCGTCAGTGGTGAAGAAGTGCCAGGAGGTAACACAATTAACATGCAGCAGAACCAGATCCTAACCGAGGTCTGGTGATCAGAAAGCCTGCGTTCTTCTGCTTAGTACAACACGACGCTTTTCATGATCGCTGGGGCTAAAAGTAATGACTTGCTAATTGTACATTTTGGGACATCTTCATGTGGCAATTTACTAGTTTGTGAAACGGGATTAATTAGTATTTCACGCACCTTAGGCTATTAAAGTGTTTGAGCTCAATGCCTTGGCAGTCCAAGTGGTGAAGACTTCCGGAGTGGTAGCTGTATTATCTTTTTGCATTTTCTCTTAGTATATTGCTGCTCACATATTTGTTCTTAATGTGTTTGTGTCTCTACCGAGTGCCCTGAGAATGGCAACTTTGTCCCCTTTGCTCAAAGGAATGAGGTTCACATTGGTATAAGGATGGAAGGATTAGGTCTTCGGGTCAGTTAGACCAGAGTTCGGATCCCGACAACTCCTTTTACTTGCTGTGTGACTTTGGGCAAGCTGTTGCAACCCTCAGTCTTGTCCATAAGCAGCATAATTTATTTGGATAAGGCTTTGGAACAGAGGTAGGCGTTTTAGTCTGAGTTAAGTCTAATTGTACTAATCAAGTCAAGAACAGAATCATTTTAAACACAAAATGGCTTGTGTTGTGAAGGGTTATAAGACTTATCTCTTTGGTAACCTGTCAAATATACTAATTCATCTGTTGGTACAATTGGGACTTGGAAATCTTAAACCTTAAAATTTTCCATTTTATCAGTCTGAAAAACTTCTGCCTTCAGCTCTAGGAATACCGCCCTTATCAATAATCGAAACTGATTTGATGTAAGCTAGTTCTTCTTATTCTTTCCAGGCATTTTCACCTATCATACAGTATTTCTTTTGATTTTTACTAGATTTTTAGTCTTTCACAATTTAATTTCCTCTTAGCACAACTATATACATATAAAAATTGGGAGGATCAATATATCCAGTTGCTTAAATTATTTTGCAGTATGAATTTGCAACTAGTCTACTACATAGTCTACCATATGCAGTAGACTAAATTCAAATATAGAATATAGTTTTCCTTTTTTTTTTTTTGCTGACTTGCTCACTTATTTTGTTACTTTTATGCAGGTATACTACAAAGGTGATTAGAGAGCTGGTGCTTGTTTCATGGCCCTTTACACTACACTCCCAGGAATCACTACTACATATAGTATGCGGAATCTTCAGCATGTGGAAGCATATATGGAATCTTTCAATTGCAGGTAGTTTCCTTGACCCCTTCTTACCTTGGCCATTTTTTTTTTTTTTGTTTTACTTCCTACTTGAGCCTAGAGTGTACTCAGAGTCTGATCTTTGATTTTTGTATCTCATTTTAAACTCAAGATTGACCATTTCAACTTGAACACAAGTTTAAGTTTTTGTATCTTAATTCACACTAGAATTTGTTTTTTGCTCACGTCTTTGTCCTTTCTACTCTTTTTCTTTTACTGTCCTGAGTTTTTAACTTAAGTATCCTAGTCCGTATTAACTGCCTGACTTGTGCACTGGAAGAGTCTGTCCCCACTCAAATAGAAGAAAAATCAGGAGAAATAAAGGAACTTCAATTCCACCTGTGACCACTTTTCTGACAGTGATTAATATTCTCTAAGAATATTTATGTTTTACTGTTAGCAATATTTTTATAATATCACAGCATCTCTTATTATGTACTAGGTATAGATTTATTGACATTATATTCAACATGTGTTCTCTACTGCTCTTCCTAGATGGTTTCTTCATAGATTTTTTTTATTTACACAGATTTTCCAGGCTTTAGAATTGCAGTTAATTTCAATGCTCCAAATATGGCAATTAATTCAAAGAAAATTCCCTTTGTGTCCACATTTTTATCTCCGAAAAAAGTACTGTTGTCAGAAGAATGCATTGCTTTTATCTGCCAGGCTCATGCCATGTGATGACTCCATAAACCAGGAAAAAGTTTAGCTTGTGACAGTCTAAAAAACTTCAGTGGAGGAAGTCATTGTGCTCTTATCAGAATATGAAAAAATGGATGTAAGGCAATTAAGAATATGCAAAAAACAGATGTTTACTACCATTTTTCACTGCAGTTTGGACAGAGTCTGGCTGCAAAAGTATTTAATAGAAAAAGTCTTCTCACCCTAAAAGTCTCCATGCCTTCAGTTTTTTTTTTCCTAACCCTATAAATAACTGTATCTCTGTTAATTCTAACCCCACTTTTGTGGTTTAAACAGACAGCCTGTTAGAGTACATGAAGGGTAGCCATCACACCTATTCCCTATAAAACTAGCAGGGTTTTCACATCTTCCATTTCTTGAAATCTTCCATTCTCTGGGTCACCCACAAGATTCAAGAAACCTAAGCAATAATGAGTATAAAGAAAAGAGACCAGCTGACTATCGAGGTATACCCAAAGTTGGTCAGTGTGTAGAGAAATAGAAACTCTCAAATTGGTAAGTTCCAAATGGGAAAGCAGCAATTCAAAAGAAAATAAGAGAGGTTTCCATTTTCAATAGTTTGGCTAAATAGGTACCTGGAATAACTCTCTAAAGTTGGAATTGTTAAAATTACAAATAAAATATTTTTTTTTAACTGTCGATAGTATATGTGGAGAAACCATTGAGAAACTACAAAATGAAAGCATGTTAGCAGCTTGGAAGTTGTTATTTTGGCATACCAACAAAGAAAAAACTGAACAAACTGAAAAATCAACGACTGTTTTAGATCCATCAGAGACGTAAGGTCCATCCACACTCTTATCAGTACTTTTTGTTTCTGTTTTGTTTTTATTTATTTATTTTTTAAATATGAGCCGTTCTCCCAGGTATCAGTGTGGTTTTGATTTTCATTTTCCTGATGAGAAGTGATGATGAACATCTTTTCATGTATCTATTGGCCATTTGCATAGATTCTTAGAAGTGCCTATTTAGCTCTTCTGTCCATTTTTTGGTTGGGTTTATTTTCTTTTTGTTGAGTTGCATGAGCTCTTCATAGATCTTTGATATCAGTTCCTTCTCGGGGTGTGCAAATATTTTCTCCCATTCAGTAGGGTGTCTCTTTCCTTTGATTACTGTCTCTTAGTGTACATAAGCTTTTTAGTTTGATGCAGTCCCAGTTGTTTATATTCTCTTTTTTCCTTGTTGCTGGAGATGTGCCTTTAAAGATGTTTCTAGAGTTTATGTCATGGAGTGTTTTACCTGTATTCAATGTATTCTATGGTTTCTGGTCTTACATCCATGTCTTTTACCCATTTTGAGTTGGTTTTCATATATAGTGTGAGATGGTGGTCTAGTTTTGTTCTTCTGCCTGTTACAGCCCCATTTTCCCAACACCATTTATTGAAGAGACTGTCCTTATTGCAGTGTATATTCTTTTCTTCTTTGTTATAGATTAGTTGACCATATATGTGTGATTTTATTTCTGAGCTCGCAATTCTATTTCATTAGTCTATGTATCTGTTTTTGTTCCAGTACCTTGCTGTTTTAATTATTATATCTTTATAATATAGTTTGAAGCCAGAAAGTGTAATCCTTCCATTTTCCCCCTTTTTAGTCAGGAGCATTTTGTCTATATGGGATCTTTTGTGATTACATATGAATTTCAACAATACTGTTCCATTTCTTTGAAAAATGCCATTGAAATTTTTATTGGGATTGCATTATAAATGATGGCCATTTTGATAATGTTAATTCTTCTGATCCATGAGCAGGGACTATCTTTACATTTCTTTGTGTCTTTGTCTATTTTTTTAACCGTGTTTTATAATATTCCTTGTAAAGATCATTCACCTCCTTTGTTAGGTTTATTCTCAGTTATTTAAAATTTTTTTGGTACAATTGTAAATTGAATGGTTTTGTTAATTTCTTCCTCTCCAGGCTGATTATTTGCATTTGGAAGTCAGCTGATTTTTATGTATTGATTTTGTAACCTGCCACTTTACTGAATTGGTTTATCATTTTAATTAGTTTTTCTATGAACTTTAAAGGTTCTTTATATATATATTATCATGTCATCTGTGAATAATGATACCTTCCCTTCTTTCCCAATTGGGATTCCTTTTATATCTTTCCATTGCATAATTGCTTTAGCTAGAACATCCAATACTATGTTGAATAGTAGTGATGAATGTGGACATCCTTGACAAGGGTTTTTAAAGAAGCCATCATAAAATGCTTTAACAATCATTGCAAATTCTCTAAAAACAAAAGAAAAACCTAAAAATCCAGAAAAAATAGAAGTTACAAAAACAAATTTCATATAAAACTAAGAAATACAACAAAAGATTTTTTTTAAATTACTGCATGGATTCAGTAGTAGAATGGAGATGATGAAGGATAAAATCAGTGAGCATAAGACCAAATCAATAAAAATTATGCAGTATGGACAGCAGAGATAGAGTGAAAAAAGAAAAGAAAAAGAATAGCGCCTCAGGGGCCAAGGGACCTCTGCGACAATGCAAGCATTTACACTATCTGATTCCCAGAAGAATGGAGAGCTAGTGGGACTAAAAGTATATTTAAAGGAATGATAGCTAACACCACCCAAAATAGGTAAGAAGCAGAAATCTGTTTATTCAAGTTGCTGAGTAAATCCCAAGCAGGACAATTCAGAGTAGTCCATTCTAGCACACAACACAATTAAACTTCTGGAAACTAACTAAAAAAATCTTGAAAACAGAGAAAAATGATGTTTTACCTATACAGAATACCAAGTTTAATGACAGTATTTTCATAGAAAACATGAAGACCAGAAGGAAGTGGGGGGGACATTTTTCAAGTGCTAAAAGAAAAGAACTGTCACCACAATTTCTATATCCTGTGAAATTATCCTTCAGAAATGAAGAGGAAATCCTTTTCTCAAAGGAAAAAAACCAGCCATAATTGGTCTCTCCTTAAAATTAAGCTAATAGAAATTCTTCAGAAAGAAAAGAAATAATAAAAGAAATTATTTTAGAACATTAAGAAGGAAGAAAGAACAAAGAAAATAGTAAACATTTGGATGTATACAATATCTTTCTCTTCCTAAGTTTTAGAGGTCATATTTGATGATTAAAACAAAAATTATAATACCATATGATACTCAAGACAATGAGATAAGGTTTCAAAATGTCACTTGCAGTGCTAAAATGTTGATAGTAAACTATAATTAGGTACATATTTATGTCATAATACTTAGAGCAACTACAGTGAAGAGTATTCAGAGATATACTCAAAAGCATATAAATAAGATGGACTGAATAAATATGATTGAATCTTAAAAATGTTTAAATAGCCCACAGAAAAACAAGAAAAGGAAATTAAAGCATGGAAACAGATAGAAATAAACAAGCAGATTGAAACATTAACAATAGACACCTTAAATGTAAATGGTCTAAATACACCAATTAAAAAATAAAGATAAGCGGCGTAGATATATAAATGTGACTCAAAAATATACTGTATAGAAGAAACTTCAAATTAAATGAGATAGGTTGAAAGCAAGAAGATTTAAAGATTTTTCCATGCAAACATTGATCAAAAAACCAGGAGTAGTTACGTTAATATCTGATAAAGTAGATTTCAAAGCAAAGGATATTACTAGAGACAGAGAGGAATATTACACAAGATAAGTGCTGATCTACCAAGAAGGTGTATTATTAGTTTCCTAGGACTGTAACAAAGTACCACAAATAAGGTGATTTAAAACAGTGGAAATTTATTATCTCACAGTTGTACAGGATAGAATTCCAAAATTATGGTGTTGACTAGGCCATGGTTCTTATAAAACCTGTAAGGGAGAATCCTTCCTTGCCTCTTCTAGCTTTTGATATTTGCTAAAAATAGTTGGCATTTCTTGGCTTATAATTGTATCACCCTAATCTCTGCTCTGTCATTGTCTAGCTTTCTTCTCCCTGTGTGTCTGTGGCCCAATTTTTCTTTCTCTATAAGGACCACTCTAATCTAGTATGACCTCATCATAACCTGATGACCTCTACTTCCAAATGAAGTTGCATACACAGATACCAGGGGTTAAGATTTCAGTATATCTTTTGGGGGACATAGCCAACACTTTGCAAAAAGACAATTATCCTAAGTGTGTATGTATTCAACAACAACCTCAAATTACTTGCAGCAAAAACTGATCTAGCTGAAAGGAGATACAGACAAACTGCTTACAGGTGGTGATGCCAACACCCCTATCTCAGCAACTAATAGAACTCCTAGATGGAAAATCAGCAAGAGCCTATTGATTGGTTGTACTGAATTCTACCTAGCAATCAAGAATAGATAATCTCAATCTTAAACCAACTCTCCCAGAAAATTCCAAAAGAGAACACTGTCTTATTTATTTATTTATTTATTTATTTTCATAGTGCAGGGGCTATTATTTATTGCAGCGCGAGGGGCTTCTGAACATCTATGTTCGCAGGGCGGGTGGACAAACTGCCAAGTGACCTGCTAGGGGCTCTGCTGAAGGCTCATTTCTTCTCCGCCTCCCCCTTCTTGGGCTCCTGTTTCAGCTTGTAATCAGCCAGGGCGGCTTTGATGGCATCTTCGGCCAGCATGGAGCTTCACCGGAGGGAGGCAGAGCTCCTTGGCGATATCTGTGTTTTTGATGGTCAAGGCTTCCTCCACCGTCTTCCCTATCTCCCATTCAGTGGCTAATGAGCTGCAGGCAATTGCAGAACCACAGCCAAGTGTCTTACATCTGGCATCCACAATCTTCCCCTTTCCATCCACTTGAATCTGTAACTTCATCACATCACCACATGCTGGAGCTCCCACCAAGCCAGTTCCGACATTTTTAGATGTCTTGTCAAGGGAACCCACATTTCTGGGATTTTCGTAATGATCCACTACCTTTTTGTGATAGAGGCGGGCCGGAGCTGAGAGTTACCTGGCCGGCGGGCGCGGACTCCGGAGCAGCAGCGTCGAAGCCGCTGCCATCTTGCGGGCTTGCGCCTGCGCAGGCCAAGCCAACACTGTCTAATTTATTTTAAGTGACTGGTATAATCATGATATTTAAACTTAAGAAGGAAGTATAAGAAAGAAAATGACAGGTAATGTTCAGTAATGAACATGGATTTTTAAAATCCTAAACAAGTTATTAGCAAAATAAATTTAGCAACAGAGAAAAATAGCATATTATGACCACACTGAATTTATTCCTGTAATGCAGCATTGACTCAATGTTTAAAAAACAATTGATATAATTTCTTACTTTAATAACAGATTAAAGGAGAAACACCATATAAGCAAGTAAAGTTATACAGTCACTTGGTTAAAATCTAACATTCATGACTTAGGGAAAAAAAGCTGCTAACAGACGAAAAAGAGAAGGAAATTTCCTTCTATAATAAAAAATAAACCTTCAACAAATTTATCTCATATTTACCTCTGAAACAATGAAGCATTCTTTTTAAGATTTATTACAAGATACACACAATCTATTACCACTTCCATAAATCATTGTTCTGGAATCTCAGACCCGCACAGGAAGGCAAAAAAGGAAATAAATGTATAGGCATTGGAAAGAAGTAAATAAAACTGTCATAAATCATAAATGATAATTTTCTTTGTGGAAAATACAAAATAATCGACAGACAAATTAGATTAAGAACACTTTGCAAGCCCATTAAACATGCTAACTATGCTAAAAAAGTAATTATACAAACTACATTTTTACTTAGCAATAAAAATAGTAAAAATAATAAACTAAAAATAAGTCCAAAACTTCAAAAATATAAACACCTAAAAAACAAAACTAGTAAAAGACACACAAGATTAGTAGTAAAGCGTGGCGCCAGAAGGTCGGCCGGGTGGGCGCGGCTGTGGTGGGATGGCTGATGAGGAGGAAGACCCCGCCTTTGAGGAGGAGAATGAAGAAATTGGAGGAGGTGCAGAAGGTGGACAGGATAAAGGAAAGAGACTTTTTTCTAAAGAATTACGATGCATGATGTATGGGTTTGGGGATGACCAGAATCCTTATACTGAGTCAGTGGATATTCTTGAAGACTTTGTCATAGAGTTCATTACAGAAATGACTCACAAGGCAATGTCAATTGGAAGACAAGGTCGAGTACAAGTTGAAGATATCGTCTTTTTGATTCGAAAGGACCCAAGGAAGTTTGCTAGGGTTAAAGACTTGCTTACTATGAATGAAGAATTGAAACGAGCTAGGAAAGCATTTGACGAAGCAAACTATGGATCGTGATACCATTTGTACTCTGAAGTGTTGTTACCTTCTAGGGAAACCCTTAATAATAACTATATTTTCCACAATGAGTTCCTGATATCTAGCCATGGAAATGAAAGAGAAACACAAAGTTTTTAGCATTTATTTTCACATCTTTGATTTTAGAGTGATATCTGAGCCTTTACTTGCCTACCTTTAGAATACCATACTTGAATTACTAACTAGGTTTTAATGACCACACAAATTGAAGTAACTTGCAAACCGTACTGTTCTCTCTGACTTTCGGCTATCTAACACTGTAAAGTGGTATTTGTGTGCCATTTTAGGCTATACAGTAGTTCTTTAACATGAAAGGTCTAAATGGCACCTTTGACTTTATGATAGCTGAGACATGTTTTTCATATATTCTAGAGTTTTGAGACTACAACAGTTGAGGTAATTAAAAGATAGTGAACTGGTTTGTTCCTTTTAAAGGAAGAAGATAAGAAAATAGTCTTCTGTAGGAATGTTTCTGTCACAGGATAATATTTTTAATATTCCTTTTTTCAGATGAGGGATTTTTGGAGAAACTTAAGTTTCATGTGAAAGCCTCTGTGTTAGAGGACTTCTTTGATTTAAAATCTTTTGGGTCTATAACATAATTTGTCAAGATTTAGGATAACTCATTTTCCCAGGTCAGATTAGAGCTTCTAAAAATGAATGTTTTCAGTATCAGGAATGATAATGCTTAAAAAGCTGATGGCAGGATAAGTATTTCAGGTAATGTTTTATTAACATTTGTTAGTACTTGTTCAGTGTGGAAATGTGTACTTAAGTAGAACTCTATGTGGCTATGGAAACCTCATTTGTAGTTCAAGATATACAGGTTTTGTGTGTGTCTTTAGCTTATTAAGTTATTATTGCACTTTGCTTAAAATGAGGATTAAAATTGCTTTTAAAGAGATTACTGAATGTTACTAGTGAAAATGAACGTTTTGTCTGCCACTTATAAATATTATAAATCAGTAACTAAGAAAATTTTACTTTCTTAACCTATTGGTACAAAGAATAAAGTATGCAAAATTAAACAGGTGAAAAAAAAAAAAAAGACACACAAGATTGCACTGAGAAAATAATCCTTTAGTGAATTAAAGTTACCCAAATAAAAGAGATGTACCAGGGCCTCCCTGGTGGTGCAAGGGGTTAAGCACCACCCTATGAAGCAATCCTCAGCCTCTGCAGCACGAGTTCCATCCCTGGCCGGCCAGGGAGCAACCCACATGGCGCAGCAGACCTCTCCTGACTACCCCGCTGCTCCCCTCAGCAGTGTACTTTGGTCAATCTGCCTGTTCTGCTCCCTGCTCTGTCTCTGGTGAATCCTCTCACCCCCCGCATCTCTGGCCTGTAACCCAGCTCCAGCTCTTGTATGCATAAATAAATAAATCTTTAAAAAAAAAAAGAGAGATGCATCATATTCATGGAATAGAAGACAATATCATAAAGATGTCAGTTCTCTCCCAAATTGATATATTTATTCAGTGCACAAAATTCTAGTAAATGTTTTTGCTAATCTTAAAAATTCTGAATTATTTATGAAAGAGCAAAGGGCTAAGAGTAGACAAGGTACTCTTGAAAAAACTTAAGCATGGGGACACATACCTATTAGTTATGAAAAGTCTTTATACAGATCCAGTAATTAAAGATAGGTGTTATTAATGGAGATATAAAGTATCTACTAGAATAGAATGAAAGCCTGGAAGGAGACTCACTCAAATATGGAAACTTGATGTATAATATAGTTGTCATATCGGAGCAATAGAAAAAGGATAATTTTTTCAATAAGTGGGGTTGAAGTAATTAGTTATCTATATGGAAAAATATGAAATTATAGCCTTAACTAATATCACACACAAAAATATCAGGTGGGTTAAGAATTTAAATGTCGGGCCTCCCCTGTGGCGCAGCGGTTGAGTGCTGGGTTGTGAAGCTCTGCAGCACCGGTTCGATTCCCTGCTGCCGGGCGAGGGTCCCACATTTCCTGCCGCCCGCTGCTCCCCTTAGCAGTGTACTTCATCACTTTGCCTGTTCTGCTCCCCACTCTGGCTCTGGTGAATTCTCTCACCCTCCCGTGCTTCTGACTGTACCCAGTGCTTGTATGAATAAATAAATCTTTAAAAAAAAAATCCATTTAAATAAATAAATAACTACTGAGTTTAAAGAAAAAAAAAGAATTTAAATGTCATAGATTTAAACTCTATAAAAGTTTAAATTTAAACTCTATAAAAGTTTTAAAAGCCAGTATAGATGAGCACTTTCCCAAGAAATCCTGTCACCTTAACATTGTTATAAGTGCTGGTCCTTCTGTCCAGAGCAGTCTGCTATGCCCTCAGCTTGTTCAGATTCAAATTCAATCAAGAAAAGTCTTCCTTGATTACATAGGCTTAATAATATTCCCCCTGTTGTAAATGCTTAAAGAGCTCTCTTCTTTTTTAAATCTCTCTTTGAGGTATAGTTTACATAAAATAAAGTGAACAAATCTGACGTTTATAGCCTGATAGATTTTTACATAAGTAAATATCTGTGTAATCACCATTCAGATCAAGGCACTGAACTTGCTTCTCCCAATTGTTATAAAAGTTGAGGCAGCAAGGGCTAGACAGAAGTATTGGCTAACAGATAATGAAAAATATTACCAATTCATGAAAGGAGGAGTCAGTGCAACCTTCAGGGAGGGCCCTAAAAGGAATGGTTGTCCATGTTGGTCCTAGAGTGTGGAAGGCCATTTAAGTACTCAAAGAAACTTCTAATTCATACTTATGTCATTTTCTGAGCTAGTCTCTCTCTATTTCTCTCCCCCCTCCTGCATATATGTGTATATATATGCTACATATTATAGATTTGATGTTTCATGTTTCATTCTTATTTCAATATTGTAAACTTTTAATATGTTCCCATATTTGATATTGAAAATTCCCCTTCCATAGACTTACTACTCTTCATTATCATTTTTCTTTTGAGAAAGTTTTGACTGTTCTTATCTATATTTTTTCCTTCTAGATGACTTTTCAGAATGATTTTATCAAATAGCCATAAAAATGTGAAATATTCTAGGAACATGTCATGCCTTTAGTTTGTTCAAGTTTTTTATTCATGTCCTTGGTGGCAGGAACTGTTGTGTGAATTCTAGCCTTGAAATATGGATTAAATTAATGTATGGAACTTCCACCCTGGCTTATAAAAATCTTCCCACTCTTTATCCTTTTACTCAGACTTATTTCATTCTCAGTTTCCCTTTTGACCTGGCTAGCTGGAGATAGAAACAACATGTGATAACTTTAGAGGTCAACTTTGGATTATGGAGGAACCGTAAGATAGAGTAACCTGGATCTCTTGCATCCCATCTGAAAAAGAGCTGTCCACTGATCTAAAACACTCATTTTGAGTTTATGTGAGGAAGGGGTACATTTTTATTGGGCTAAGCTACTGTATTTGGGGGACTGTGTCTTATAACAGCTAGTTGATTCTGAGTAATGCATCCCTTAGGGGGTTCTCTAGATTTCTCTATCATAGAAACCATACTATTTTAATTCTTTTAAATATTACATTCAGACAACATTTTCCTAAAAAAATAGAAATTAGGAAAAGTAAATTAAATTCACGGTGATACCACCATTCAGTAATAACCATTTTAACGTTTTGATTTCTGTCTTTTTACAAAATTATGTTTTTTGAGCTAACATTGATTTACAGCACTGTTTTAGGGGTGTAACTGTCATACCACACCCTGATCAAAGCCTCAGTAATCCTCCACCATAGTCCACTGGGTCCCCTTCTTCCTTTGCTCTGACCCCCCACTCCTTTCTGTAGTCGGGTTTCAAGGATTTGTTTTTATCTGTTCCTTTGCTTTGATTTGCATATTCCACTATACATGAAATCATCCAGTATTTGTCCTTTTCCTTCTTTGTGTGTGTGTGTGTGTGTGTGTGTCCCTCGCCAGGGGCCAGGGAACAAACCGGCGCTGCAGAGGCTGCGCCACCAGGGGAGGCCCTGTCCTTTTCCTTCTTATTTTGCTTAGCATAATCCCCTCCAGTTCCATCTATGTTGCAAATGGCAAGATTTCATCCTTTTTTTCATAGCTGAGTGGATTACATTGTGTACATATGTTATGTCTTCATTATCCACTCATCCATGGGCATGTAGGTAGATCTACTTTTTAATGTTTTCAGAAACCTCCATGCTGTATTCCTTGGGTACCAGACCTGTCTACATGGCCAACACCATCCTTTTTCTCCATATCCTTGCTAGTATTGGTGGTTTCTGGTCTTTATGATAATGGGCCATTCTCACAGGTGTGAGGTGGTATCTAATTGTGCTTTTGATTTGCGTTTCCCTGATAATAAATGATAATGGGCATTTTCCGTGTGCCTGGTACCCGTCTGTACGTTTTCTTTGGAGAAGTGTCTCTTCTATCCTTTTTTTGATTGGGTCATTTGTTTTCTTTTTGTGGAGTTGTTTGCGTTATTGTTGATTTGAATATTAACCCCTGTCGAATATATGATTTGCAAATATTTTCTCCCATTTTTGGTAGGTATCTTTTCATTTTAACGATAGTTTCTTTTGCTGTGCAGAGCATTTTAGTTTGATGAAGTCCAATTTATTTGCTTTTGCTTCCCTTACATTTCTGGTTGAGTCCCCAGAGACATCACTGAAGCCAATGTCACAGTGTTTTGCCTGTTTTCTTCTATGTATTTTGTAGTTTCAGGTCTTACATTCTTTGACCACGATTTTGATTCATTTTGAATTAGTTTTATTGATGGTGTGAGAGAGTGACTTAGTTTCATTCTTTTGCATGTGGAAGTCCAATTTTCCTACTACTGAATAGACTTCCTTTCTCTGTTATTGGTCCTTGACTCCTTTGTCATGATTTCTGTTTTTTCAGTTGTCTATCAGTTGATCATTCACTCTCTGAACTTTGCAATATCATGAATTAAAAAATTTGGTTTGCATTTTTTTAAGTTCCCACTTACAGTAGTGTAGTCGGATTTGGCAAATAAAAATACAGGATCCCACTGAATTTCAAATAAGCAATGAATAATTGTTTAGGATAAGCATATAACTGTTGTCCTGAATTTTATTTAACAAGGACTTTAAACCATTCACAGCACACCCCAGATGCTTTTTCTAAGTTTTATGTGTCAAGGAACACATCCAGTGTGGTCTTTCCCTGGTGTCTAGCTGCCTCATTATCTTGCTTGCTCATGGTTTCTTATGCAGCCTGTTAGAGAATCAAAGACAATAAAACAGAGCTACAAGCCTAAATCCACCTCACAGATAATTAACACCTCACCAAAGCTCCTTACCCAGCCTCTACATGGTAGGACCAGTTCACTCCCATCACTGGAAAAATTCTCTGTACCCCAAAGTTCAGACTCAACTTCCTTGAGACCCTAATGAACACTTCTCTGTACCAGGCATCTTGCTAAGTGTTTTATGTGCATGCTTTCATCTGACTGACTAGAGTAACCAATCATCCTGGTCTATAGGAGACTGTCCCAGTTTTGGTACTGCAAGTTCTAGTCCCAGGAAACCTCCCTCTTTGGGAAGGAAAATCCTAGTTTTGGGATACAGGTACAGAAGATTAGGAGAAAGGATACAAAATTCATATTCATACCATTGCTTTTAGTGTCAAATAGATAAAGCATAGTTTATTCATCATTTATAGCTATCGTCACTGATTTTTCCCTTGTCCACTGGTGTTGGCAACTATGATTTGTATTGCAATAATGGATCATCCATTGTTGCATCACTCCAAATGGTGAGGCTAAAGTGTGCAACTTAAGTGCATTGTCATCATGACTGTTAACAATTAGACCTTGGCTGCCTGTGGATTAAATGTTTTGTTTTTTTATCAAGATAGTGTGTTGTTTTTTTTTTTTTAACATTGTGAATTTTGTGGCCATTTCTTTGAAGAGTTCAGATTATGAGAACAATTACAATACCAAATTCCAGCATTTGGTTATTTTAATAATAAATGTGTTATTTTAATAATAAAAACAAACTTGTGGTGAAATAATGGAGAAAGTGAACAATGAAAAAAAGAGGCAGGAACTAATAAACTCATCAGATATACATATTTTAAGCAAAAGAAAAAAGGCAAAAAGAGTCAAAGGTGGAGATTATGTAAAAATAAATGTGTCAATCCATCAAGAAAGTCCTAATAATCACTAATATTTATGGTCCCACAGATCACCTAAACATAAAACAAATATTAACAGACCTAAAGAAAGAAATAGACAACAACACAGTAGTAATAGGGGGCTTTAGCATCCCACTTACATCAATTGAGAGATCTTCCAGACCAAAAATTAACAGAGAAACAATGGTCTTAAAAGACACATTAGACCAATTTGATATAATAGACATTTCCAGAAGATCCAAGAGCAGCAGACTTTATTCTCAAGTGCACATGGGACATTCTTAAAGATAGACCATATGTTGGGAATAAAATAAAGTCTCAATAAATTTATAAAGATTGAAATACTATCAAGGATATTTTCTGATCATAATGATATGAAACTGAAAATCAATCATTAAGAGGAAAGCTGAAAAAAGGTCCACATATGTGGTCACACTTGGCATGTATCAGTTAAAATAGGTTCACCTGTGAGAAAAGAGTGCCTTGAACCACAGGAAATTTTCATGTTTCTTAAGTTTCCCAAAGTAGACAGGTCTAAAGTTGATTAGCAACTCAAAAATGTCACCAAGGATCTAGTCACTTTTTCCCCTTCAGCTCCAGCATTCTGATCATGCTAACTTTTTGTGTATCTGCTTGACACCTTCCTCTCTGTTAAAAGAGGGCAGCCACAGCTTCAAGAATTAGATCTTCACACTATATTCACAGATGAGAAAAAGGGGGCAAAGGAAAATCACTTTTCCTGCCCCTCTGAAACGAAATATTTCTCAGGTTTTCTCCTATGCCCATGATGGGAACTGATCACACAGCCACTTGTAAGACAGGCTGAAAAGTGTTTGGCCATGGGGTTTAAGGTTTGTGCAATTGGCTTAGACCAGTCACGGTGTATGTTTCTTCAGTCTTTTTCATCCTATCTGTTTAGTGCTGTTTTTGATCTTTTACTCTTACTATGACCAAGGATG